ACGCTAAGTACACAATATTAAAACCACGTTACCGTAATGCAAAATGGCTAAGTGCGTGCTACGCAAATTCTAACATTTTTATAGAAACTCTTTTTAAAAGTTCAGAAAGAAAAAATGCGGCCAAGATTTGAATATAATTAATACGACCGATAAATACTTCTTCTATGCTTTGCTTTTCTAGTTTCAGCATACCGTGTTAGGAAATAAGTGATCTCTTGCTTTCGATGGTCGTTTTATGGGAACGTCTTAGCAGCAGCACATCAACCTAGCCTTTTAAGGGTTTAACTTTTGGGTGTAGTGGTTTTTACTGTGAAATAAAACTCACAACGCTATATTACTATCATACACACATTACAGTGTTCATTTACACAATCCTCTTTTCAGTATATTATTATTGCTCTCATTCGCTTGAAATTTTACATATTTTCATTTTATGTTTTATAGTGGGGTTGGTGCCTGTACGGTTGCCTAAACAAGTCATAAATCTCATTAAGCAGCAAATATGAACCTACCTACTTACTATCATAACTTTCATACAAATTTTCAATTATTTCCCTACGGATCCCCGAAGCCCTAGTAACCAAAAGCTCATCTAGCGAAATTGCCATCCGCTGCTCATTACCGGAACAAACGCTAACCGCACGTGACTGAAGGAAATTGAAAACTCTATCTCCATCGGCTCATCGGAATATTCCATCGACGACCTAAAATAATATGGAATTTTAATTAGAAATCAATCCCCGTTTTGATATTTTCATGTTAATTGAAATCAGAGCTTTATGCTGTGTGTTTCAATTAAAATAGTGGTCCGATCATACTCTTAATTAGGGATTCCAAAGGTAATAATTTTATTGTTCTCGTTGGTTGGTGGTTCATAGCAGTTCATTATTTAGTTATGTTGTGAACATAATATGAAAATCAACAAAGTAATGTTACACGCCTTTTTAGTGGACTTGGCTATTCTTGAGGTACCTATTTACATGTCTTTTTTTACATCTACCCAAACCTCTTTATTTTGAAATGACAAACAGTATGAATAGAACAATGTTTAAGTAGTACCAACTGTTTCCCAATTTATTAAATCAGTATCGCTTGCAAGTCGAATTTCAGTGAAACCAAATCAATAACCTACTCAAGTCAGGCCTTTATTCTCAAGGCCTTTAACTTGCACAGGTGAGGAGGCCCGTGAAAACCGATATGATTAGATAGGGCATGAAGGACAACCACCTCGCTGAAGCCCTCTTATTATGAGCCAGCACGACCAGCCACTTGGACACGTTTGCTTGCCACAACCTTTACGGCCCCTTTATAACGCCATTCCTACCAATTTTCCGTTTTTTCGTCTCCAATATGAAAATAAAATCTTTGTGATAGGTATACACTTATTTTCTTTTTGCGCAGATTTTAACGGTTTCCTTTGATATGCTCGTTTCGTATTGGGTAAGTAGAGACTCAATAATTACACGTTTTGTGTGAAATCTTTTTGGGTATTTCAATAGATTCTTACCAATTATTTTATTCCACTCATTCCATATTATTACGAAATTAAAATAGATGATCCATTTAGATTCAGTCGTCAGTGTCCACCATTTCAAGTTGCGAGACAAGTATAATAATAAGTATCCATCATTGTACAATTTGAAATCAAAGTCAAAGTTGGTCTTTTACTAACTTAGACTTCAAATACGATCTTTAGAATATACCTACGATCAGATTTCTATAGCAACGGAATAGAGAAGTTGCATTTTGTCGTGGCTTTCAGGAACTGACGTAACAGCTTTCAGCAGGCTACAGATCGGCAGAGATAAAAAAAAATGGTTTATCACGGCTCCACTTAATTTAATAGGAAAATAAATAAATATCGTGACCTAAGGTCACCGTTTTTTTTATTACTACCAATCTCAACTTACTGAAAGCAGTTCCGTCAGTTCGTGAAAGCCACGAGGATTTACGAAAACCTAGACCTTTGTCGTTGCACAGGACTAACTAATTCGAAACTGTACAAAGGTCAGGAGCAAGGTCAAATACATTAGTCCTAATTCCTAGACCACCCGATTGTCCAGTAAGAAACACGATCTTGTGCTGTGGATTTCATTCCATCACGAATATAATCATCATTCATCACGTCGTTCAGAAACTCACAGTTTTGTAGGTACAGTGGTCTTACAAAATTGTAGTATAGGTAGATAATCCCGTATTAATTTATAATCAAATTTAAGCTGCAATTCAATGTGTGCGCTATTATCAAGTTTGGAAGCGCTGACGTCTACGAGTGAGCCGATTACAAATTACTAACTACCTACAACTACAACTATCAAACCCGTCTCCGTATGCGCGGCGTAAATGGGGGCAAATTCGTCAATTTATATGCGAAGCAGCCCGACTCAGCTCTTTCACACTAGACCCGCCAAAAATTCTATTAGTCAGCTGACGAGGTTCAAGTAGGAATATTTTCATTATTATGTGCAAGCTTTATATTCAGAAATGGTGTGTTTTCCGCGGAATTAATGCGGTTAGTAAAATTTATTAGGTTAATGCAACTAGTACTTTAAATTACATTATAATTATTGCTCACTTTAGTTCTAACCACGCTTTGAAAAAAGTTGGCGAGCGTAGAATGCGACTGACCATCTAAATCTCCATTTAAAACATCCACAAATACTTAGACTTGAGTAGACTGATGCTTTTTTAATGTACCAGCACATTGTAAATTAAACTATACCGTGTAAAATCAGGAGCCAACGATGCGGTTCATTAAAAATCTCTTTTCATACTCACGGCCTTAATTATCCGTTGTCTTTTGTTCGTTAAAAGAAAAAACGCTGAAAATTATACACCAAGCACAATGCGTACCTACTTTGTATTCAAACTTAAGGGTCAGTTCCTACCGCGATGTGACGCAGTCAACTACCGCAATGTAATGCGGCGCGTTCTCGTATAGCTTGACATCATATAAAATCGCGTCATCGTATTTAAAATATTTTTATCTTGATGAGCATAAGAGCTCATCACCTAGTGGGAAAGAGAGCGCCATACAACTGTCTCAACTATAGTTTTGATAAGGCTCATAAAAAAAAAACTTTTTAAACCAATTTAAGTAATGATGATGATATTTTATATGACGTAAATTTTTTACCATAAAGTTTATTGTTGTGATAACAACTGATTCATCTTGATGCTAATAGTATTTATTTTTAAATTGTGTTATTTTGGCTATGTCAGACGCAAAGAAATGTGTTGTGGTGCATGCAAATACAAAATTCTTTATTCAATATAGAATATAAAATATCACTTATTAGGATACTGGATGGTATGAGTCAGCAAAATAACATTAGGTAATCTTGTGGAACTTTGTATTTTATTTTATTTTGGAATTTATAGTATCATTATTTGAAACTTAAATTAAAATATATTGCAATGTATACTTAACTATTGTATCTAATGACATGAAATATTTAAGAACACCCATTTTTGACTAGGGGTAAGCTTAAAACCAGCAATTTGCTGTGCGTACACCCATTTCTGCTCATGTGACTTATTTGAACTGAATTTATGACATGTTTGTAATGTGTGATGCGAAATAAATATATTTGTATTTGTATTATTGATAGTCAATATTACACAGAAATGAATTAGTCATTGTAAAAAGGAGAAATTTGCATGGCACAATTTTCTCCTTTTTATATATTTTTTTTTATTCCTAGTATAAACGCGGCTCGGGCGGGATAAAAAATAAAAATAAAAGCACTGCCTCGGGGCTGGCCAGGCTAACCACACGGCATGTAACTTTATGCCTCAACGACCAGTAAGTGAAAACAAATTCAGTCAAGATTTTAAAAAGGCGTTACATGCGTATTGTTAGTCGGTCGTTGTCATGATAGCCACTATTATGCCTAGATGACAATTTGTGATAGCCGCAATTTGATGCAATGATACCTATCAACTTTTCATTTGGACTTTAAAAAGCTGGATCCGGCAAATAGTCGGAAAATCATGCTTCATTTGTGAGAACTGCCAAACTACGTCTCTCGCACGTTGCTACTAACTGCGATTATGATCACGTGTTATCTAATAATTGCTCATTACTGTTTTGCCGTCAGTAATCGAACCTCGATTAAATCCTATTTATCCACGAAAGTAATTACCCAAATCGGTTTGTGAATTGCTCCCAATAATGGCTTGTTTAGAGGTGCACTCCAAATTCAAACTAAAATTTCACGCTCGGATACATTGAGTCACGAGAACCTTTGCGTTTCCAGCAGGCTTAAGCAGATCAAAGGTCTAGTTTGATTTGCTGCAGGATATTGATACAGTTATTGGTTGGTGCGGTTCTCGTTCTAGCTACAAAGTGTATCAGATTAGGTGACTATTGTATATCTTAATAAATAGAAAAACACAGCTCAAAAATAATCAGTGACCCTGGAAATCACTGCAAGAAAGGCAAACGAGAACCATCTATCTTCCTATTATATTCGGTAAATACAGGAATTAACAAAGCTAGGGTAGGTACTTATAATTATGACAAGTTGAAAGGATGTCAAAGTATTCTTGAAACTGAAAAACTTTCCCCATGGAGCATGGTCGAAATATGAAAAAAAAAATTGGACGTCATCCGCTGATCTGAGATGTTTTAGAGGTAATTTTTTTTTATTAGTCGTGCGTTGATTGTGTGTCGTAATTTGTAAGGGGATTTTAGTGTCTCGCTCGGCTCGTAGCCGCGCGTCTTAGAAACTGACAACGCTCTCTTTTCGAGTAGGACAACGAGTCATCCAACAACTCAATGAACCCTGGTGTCAGAGCTTTTCAACCGCCTACTTACTACAAGTAGCTGGCTTAGCTTTAGTGATCAATCATAGACAACAAACGGGACCGACGGCTAACTAACGTACCTTCCTAAGCACGGAATCATCTTTCTCTTTGGACAAACAGGTGGTAAAACCAGTAATGTGCTAACCAGACAGGGAACAGATTTACTAAGTGATAAATAACTACTTTGTGAATGACCTGACGAGAATCGAATCCGAACCCATCTGCTTCGCAGGCAGTCACACTACCACTGCGCTACGTCGGCCATCTTTTGCAGTTAAATCAGGATTTATATAAGTGCTTTCTTTTACTTTCCTTTCTTTTCCCTATAACCATTAAATTAGACCAACAAAAGCGTTTATGTAAATTAACAAAATGAAGAAATTTTCGTTATAACAAACCGCTTTTTAATAGTAGCTGGACTTGGATACCATTTAAATTCTTCTGAGGTTTCTCTATTGGAAAAGACAAAGTTACCTATAAGTAATATAATTTTTAAATGGCAATATTTAGTGTAATAGGAAATAAAACAACCATTTCAAACTTTTCATGTAAAAACACTTGTGTCAGTTTTAAAGCAAACCAGATGGATTAGGTTCTCCTTGACAATAAGACAGGTACCTTAAAATATTGAAGAGAGCTAATGACAGAAATAATAAAAATCATGATCATACAAAGTAAATTATACACCTAAGTGACAGCCTTCAGAAATATTCATTATTTTTTCATACCTTTTTTGCGGATTTCTTTTGTAGAGTTATGATCCTTTCAAGGGATTCTTGCTTTTATGAGCATTCCAACATTTCCTTTTTTAATTATTTAGATAGAAAAGGTACTTATCTTGTTACTTATTTATTACCTACTCGTACTTTAGTCGCTTTTTTAACTGATCCATCCATAATGTCCGATTTTACATACCTACATACATGCAGGCATGGTACATTTCGATAACTTATATGACGTCAAGTATTTTTCGCTCAATTTGTCATATCCTACTTCTACAAACTAAAAAAACACGAATAGTCGTTTAATACCTTTTAATTTTCATAGAAATTCACTGTAAAGTATGCTGTCATTACGTAATTTCAATGGTCCAGCATTTCAGAAATAATGTACACACTTTTCTTACTTTAATAACTTCTCAGTAAACTCTATCTATCAAAGTTTGTAAGACTAAGTTGAGAAGATAGCCGCAAAAACTTAGCAGCTGAAAAACGGAGAGAAAACACTTTTAAGTGGCGTTCTAGAGAACACGACAAATCACTTTGCTAATAGTTACTATGTTACTCTATTTTCTGGCGTCCAGCGTATTTCATTCACCATCTTTTTTTATTCCCCTGGCGAAAGAAACATTTTAAGTTTTCTCGCTATTTGACCGCGAGCGAAAAAGTTTCGCTCTACTTATGAAAAATAAAACAAGCTAAAAAACTACAACGCTTCGATTCTGGCAAGTTTTGTCAGCGAATTTTTAGCGTTGACTTCCTTATAATTCCATTCTGATAATTGTATTTGACAAGGGCTTTGCAAGGTATTCACAGTGAAAGTTTCTGCCCATTCCCTGCTTAATCTTGGTCATCTTTTAAGACACCTACGAGTGGAAAAATATTATTGATTGCGTAATTTGCGTATTCCAGGCCATACTACAGTACAGTTTTGATAAGGATTCAATATCGTATCGTAGCGTAGTATCAGTGTCATCAGAGTCACCTTTAATGTCAGTGTAAATTGTTTGTTTTATACAACGCTTAATACTTGTCTACCTATCAATTATGTTGCCCCGCGGTGTTTTCAATTTAATTTCCAAAATAATATCCCTGATGAAACCGGAGCGAATATTGTAATTTCTAATTTGTTTCTCGTCGGTGATACTTTTAGGATCTCCGTGAAATTCGATATTTTAGCAATAAAATGGAATGTTGGTACGAGAAGCTGGCAGACAGTACAAAATGTTCGTGTTGCGCGGAAAAATTTGCGAGAATGTCGGCGAAACATCATTTTGGGCTCCATTACCTTTATTACATTGTGTATGAATAACGTACACGATGTATCAAGTAATATTTACTGAGTGACGTCTCTGTATTCAGGATTATGTATGACATAGGTAAGGCTTTAGCTGTTTAGTGTGACGTGAGAGTAATTTCCTAGTTACAATATGGTGGTTTACCTACTGACAAAGAAAAGCTAAAGAAGACACAGACTTACATAGGTATTTGAGTTTGAGCAAATAAAGGTTTTCTACCTAAAAAAACGTTAATTATATCAAAACAAAATACCATGGAGACAAATGTGTAAAAAAGCCATCGCCCACTTCTGAGATCTGGAGTATCGGAAAGTTGGAAGGTTGGAACTCACTTTCATTTGAGATGTGTTTCGCTTTAGATACATTTACCTATGGGTAACAAGCACGTCTGCTATCCGTTCTAAAATAAGCAGGTTATTTTGGACTCGCTTGTACCTATCAGTCAATGTCAAACTTTCAGTTCAACATCAGTATATTTTCCCAGCAACTCCTTAGCTAAGCTACACAGTAACATTTTCATTGGCTCTACCGATATCTACTGTGACTGAAGTGTAAGTCTCTCTATCTGTGTATGGGACACCGAGTCATCTAATGACCTGATGTGGGTACAACAGGGTTGGTTGTTAGAGTTTAACAACTGTCTTCTACAAGAAGCGGGTCTCTGACATGGTTGTGTAACGACAGCAGCCGTATAAGTAATCATAGGCAGCAAATGGGTCCGGCGGCTAAGACCGAGCGCGGCGACGTCGTAGTGCACCGCCAACGTGGCAGTGTCGTTTATAATATGGATGGCACGCTGCGTCGTACCGCCCGGTCTTTCTGGCATCTTCATACATACTAGTCATACTATGAACGAAGCTGTCATTGACGGCGCACTACGACGCACGGTATTTATTTTCACCGAACCATCTTTCTTTTCGAACAATCAGGTGGTGCGGCCTGCAATGTCCATACAGATTGGAGGTGCATGAGTCCTTTGCAATTGCAATACGTTTTTCGCCTTCAGTTGACTTGTTGGCTGCGTATTATATTTGCTGTATTAGTTTTTTTAAACCATGTAGGTAAATTCACAAGATTACGTGTGTAAAAATCACGTTACTGCGAATAAATTGAAAATGAAAGAGGTCGCCTGCCTCAACCAAAGGAAACGTCTACGGAATAAATCAATGAACGCCTCAGATAGGGAAATAAGCAACATGTACCGCTGTGAACCAAACCAAAAATGTAATAAGAAAAACAATACATACATTTGATCTTCTTCTTGTCGTATGGGACACGGAGTCGAATGAACCCTGGTGTCAGCGATTTTTAATCGCCTGGTATTATGAGTAGGCCTCTGATATGGATGTGTTACGACCACCGGTATAAGTTAACATAGCCAGCAAACGGGACCAACGACGACCATTTTAAAGAATCTTACGCATGCCAGCTGTCATACAAAATATTAACTAGTCATAACCGCAATTAGGTGCAGCAATAGGTGCCATTGTAAGTACCTATCTGTTTTTGTATGGAATTTCCTAAACTCTGTTTGTCAAAAAGCCGATTCTGACAAAACACTCAACAAAACAATCAAGGATGATTGTGTTATTTTATTACCGCTTCTTAAAACATGTATGCAATTATCATGACATATACCGCCGCATAAATTTGCGGCTGTAACTTTATTTTGATTGCTGGCTATCAATAACCGCATTATCGTGCGGCGGCTCGGTGATTATGATTAGTACCATAGTTAGTACCTATAACTTGCTTTTCTTCTATCGCAATGCTCTGCATTTTTTTATCTATTGTAGAATAATATTTTCTTTATTTTCAAAGTAAATAGAAAGCTTTGATTCGTTTGACAGTTTAGAAACAGCTGTCAATCAGACGTACTGAACCACATTGAACCACTGTTTATCTTAACAGGGTGTAACTTTTTCTAAAGAAATCGAACAAAGCGGAAGCGGAGATTTTTGAATTGATAAAATTTTGGTGCATAGATATATAAGTGCAGTGAGAGAGCATTTTACTAACGTTGTCTGGCGAACAGATAAATACACGACCAGAGACCAACTAAATATTGGTTTTTCATACTAATACAAAGAAAAACCAATGTAAGTTGGTTCTTTAAATGGGTAGGTGGATTTTCTGGCGATAGTACCAAGTTGGTCATGAGTCGAAAAACGTAGTTGGTCGTAAAAGTAAGCCGAATATAAGAATATAGTACTTTTCCAACATGATTTGTTGTACAAAATATGTTGCGCTAACCCCACATTAATTAGGGCACGGATATTCTGACGATGATGAAACTGGGAGAACAACGTATTTCATCCTAACCAACAGTCACTTATTACCGTTATTACATTACATACATAGGTCCATCATGCATTTATTCCTTGCAGGGTTGGCAGAGCGTAATCGGCTGTAAAAAGAACCGCATTTACACCACACCACGTCAGATAGTTGTTAGAGAGTAATTCAGAAGACTGTGTTACACTATAGTGACAGGTTGTCGCCTAAAATTGCAATATACGTCATCAATTCTCAAATCCCTTAGTCGCTTCTTACGACACCCACGTGAAAGATATGGGGTGATGCCATTCTAAGCCAGCACCACAGGCAACGGTCAGAATTTACTTATTCATTCATAAGTACCTATACCTATAGGTTGACAAAAAATATGTCGTCTTCAAGATAATATAAGGAGGTGTCTCATGTCACAAAATGGCCTATTATATTAAGCTCCTCTTACTGTCACGGGGAAAATAGGCTAAACCACGCTATTATTAAAGCAAAATAGATGTGTAACATTCGAGATTGTTGAATAGGTTCCGTACCTAGATTATTTTTTCAAAAATTTGATGATATATTTGAATAGAGTCCGACGATGTACGACAAGTTTGTGCGGAAAGAATGTGGCAGGTAGGTAGTACAGGTATAGTACCGTCATTCAAATAGGCCATATTTGACAGCTGTCAAACCCATACTAGGAAACATGTCAACAAAGAAAAATAGACCTCATTCTATTGGAATTGTAATGCACTCACAGTGCTATATTATTCTCACAAGTGAAAATAAGAAATAGAAAAAATGTCATACATCGACCGGGAATCGAACCCGGGCCACATGGGTAAACGCCGCATGGGGCGTTAGAATAGACCTCATTTCAATGTCATAGCATTAACATGATTTTGACAGCTGTCAAATATGGCCTATTCGAATGACGGTACTATAGGTAACTAAGCTAAATTATTTAG